AGCTCCCACTGCTGCATTCACAGCCCGGTCCAGTCCCTGCCCAGGAGAGCCCAATGCAGCCCCCAGCAGCAGCCTGCCCTGCCCCACGCACAGGTCGAAGGCACACCCCCCACCCATGCCCTCCCAGGGTGCATGCAGTGGCAGGAGCCACCACCCCCTCCCCACATCCCCCAGCCAAGCTGCTCTCAGCTGTCCCATGCCCTGATCTGACTGCAGTGCCTGCCCCTACCCCAGCACCGCCCCACTCCCTCACTCATGGCAGGGTCTCAGTCTGACCCACAAGTTAACAGACTTACCAGCCAGACACTGCTGTCTGTGCCTACCGGGCTGTGCTGCATGCATGCACAGGGCATTTATTGGCAACATTATCAGCCAAAAAAAGCCAACTGCCGATAGTGTCAATTTTCTTTTTATCGGTGCTGATAGGATATGGGATGGATGTATCGGTGCACCTCTATAATGTACTGCTCAGATTAGCGCTAGAAGTATTCAGGACTACTGGTCTTTCCAAAGAAATGCACAGTACACTACAACCACTCCCCAAAAACCCCACACAAATTTAACACACATTTTAAAATGAAGTTCACACTCTATCCAACTCTGTGCGCTTGCCTACCCACTCGTCTTTTGAGCCATTTCCTGGCTCCAGCAGTGGCAGTAAGGACCCCAAACTCACCAGCACCAGAACCAGAGGTCCAGAAGGTTCACCTTGCTAGAGAATCCTTGGCACCTCTGAGCTTCTACCCTGTCCATTTCCCAGCTCCGGCAGGGCAGTGGCCATCTGGGTCACTCAGCCATTATGCAGCTTCTGCAACTTGAGCCTGCTACCACCAAGCCAGAAAAAGATGATGTTGTGCTTCACCCTTAAGGGTACCACACAGGATCATCTGTTCTGCATTAGCAAACTGATCCATTATTTTACATACTGTGCTGTCAGAACAACAGGTCTTTCCGTTGCACTGTGTTCAAGAGCCAAGACCTTCTAGAACAGGCACAAAACATTTCAGCCTCCAAAATGCACTAAGAAGTTAGATGCAACTTACTCAAATTACTTCAACCATTACAAAATTTATTTAACCAAAAAAAGCTAGTTTACATGTGACCGCTGGAAATAAAGGCTTGTCATCAGGTGCGAGGCAGGACTCTTCACCGATTCATTTAGACTCGTTCCAAGGCTTCCAACATGATGATACTGTTTCCTCGTATTACCTAGAAATAAGACATGTAAAAAGATGAGAAATCTGCAACCATCAACAAGGTTTAGCACAGCTTAAGAAAACAGATCAGTGGGATTAACAACACAAGAAGTAATTTCAGCTGAGAAACACGCGGAGGTACATATTTCTGCAGAAACAAAGCTGAAAGTTGGAAAGACATACTTTAAACTGCAGTTGTAAACAGCAATCACACAAGATCAACTGAAACTACAAAAGAGAAAGAGCAAAAATGTATAAAAGTAATTAAGAAAACTACATTTGTTCACTGTGAACTGTAGCTCCTGGGGTGCAAGGGAGAGGCTGTTCTCCCTGGGGCCAGGTGCAGGGGCTGCCAGGGGAAGGGCGCAGCACATCCCAAGAGCTCGTTGCAGGCAGTGGAGTCAGGTCTGTGTTATCAGCTGCAGTGTTCCCTCTAAGCTGCATGGCGTGCGCAGCTGTGGCACACCTGGCAGCAAGGCATGAGTGTGCCTGCATAGCCGCGCACGTCACATAGCTTAGAAGGAACGCTGATCAGCTACCCCCTAAATACCCCCCAACTCCGCCCAGCACATGCCCTGCTGCGCACAGCAGCCTGTGGCCAAGGCAGCTGCACAGGCAACCCTGGTTTGGGCTTGGAGCAACGGTGCTTGGGTTTAGAAAAGCCTCAGACTGCAGTCTGGTTGGATCCAGTGCAGGGCTGGGCATGGGATCCACCCGTGTGGGGAGCAGCTGACATGACTTATCTCAATGTCACTTCTGGAATTAAAAATAGTTTTCCTGCCACCACTGCCCCCACCTCCCCCCCATATATAAGGATCGCCCCAGTATGCATACCTGCTTGGATATTAATGGATTTCAATCAGTTTTAATTGATCTTAATCTATTTTGCTGCTGCTTGCCTTCATTCCCCACTGATCATTTCCAAAGGAATCAGACATTACACAACCTAAAAATAAACGCTGCCCCTAGCGGCAGGGGGGAGCCACTGCAGCCGCCTCACAGCGGGAGCAGGGTGGGGAGATACCAGCATGGGACCACCCCTTCCTTCAGCCACACGACTACCTGCCGTTTCAATCAGTGGCAAGGGGCGGAGCAACACAAAGGGCAGCCCTGTTACCCAGTAAGCACTGAAGGACAACTGTCAGGGCACCTTGGCCAATCAGGGACATGTGGCAGGGTGGCTGCCTCATAGATCTGTCCCTACTTAAAGTTCTCCAAGTGAAAAGAGCTGGCACTTACTGCTGCATTGGGTCGTTGGCCATAGAGGAGCAGGAGCTGCAGGCCCTGGGGTCAGATCCAAGCACAAGGGTGGTGGAGTCAGTCAGTGCCAGAACAGGAGCGCCCCGCCTGGACCCTGCTCCCAGTCCCACTGCTCCATACCTGTGCACTGGTGCCTGGCAGCACCTCCCCCATGCCCATTTCATCACCCCATGTTCAGGCTCTGCCTGCACATCCCTGGCCAGGGCGGTGCAACACACAGCTGTGCTGTGCAAGCAGCGCTGCCCCATGCAGTATCCCTGGGCTAAGAGAGGCCCAGAACCTTGCGTGCAGAGCTTGGGCTGCAGTACCAGGCAGTCCCTGCAGCATGTGGGCGTGACCTGTAACTCCCGCTGGTCAGACCCGGCCTGTGTGGGTGCTGTGTGAACACTTCGTCTCTAGGGGGAGCACTAGGGCTGCAGGTTTGCCCCACGCTGCTCCAGTAAAAGCTGCACAGACACCACTGGCAGCTCCTGCCCACACCTCCTCCTGCCCTGGGGAAGGTACACAGCAACGGCAGGCGGGGGGGTTGAGATCTGGCTATGCTTGCCCTAGAGATCCTGTGG